TGCCGATCCGAGCCGAACCGAGCCGAACCGAGTTTATCCGAACGGTATCATTTCTTCGTCGACCGCCATCTTGTATACATTCGTCTGTGTGCTTTTCTTTTTCAAATTTATTGTACTGTCTTTTTTTTTTTCGAAGAAAAAGTTAAGGAATAAACAATTGTTGATGATATTATCTCTATGATGATGATATTATTTCTTCTTATTCAGTTCCATTTGGCAAACTCAACGATCTATACTATTCTTATAAATAAAGAGGCAATCATGTCTTTCCTTGCCCTTTTCCAAACAATAACATCTCTTTTTTTCCCCTTCCACTTACGTCATCAACTCTCCTACATACAGGTACGGTAAAATTGAAATGTTCGTCTATCTTTTATCTGTTTAGTATTGGGTTTATTTTCTTTCTTAGATTTAATGATTTTCATTAGTTCTGTGTATAAACTTGTGCAATTGGTACTGTTTAAATAAACAATCATCTTGGGACCAGGAACGGATTAATCCATTTTAGATTGATTCCTGTTGGAGAAATAGTTTCGGTTTAGGAACATTTCGGGTTACGAACAGGCTTCAGGAACGAATTAAATCCGTGAACCGAGGTTCCACGGTGCATGAGTTCCCCTACCATCCCCTACCTTTACAGGAGCCAGGTCAGACTGAAAATGGAGTATTGTTTTCATATTTTGGAGTTGCACAGATAATATTTTCCATCTGAATGTAAGATATGTAGTTGACACAGTGTTAATAGCAGACACAGAAAATAAACTACAGTCACCCCCCCCCTCAGAAAGTAGCGAATGAAAGTGCGAAGAAATGACATATAGGAGAAATGACATGTAGGGGAAAATGACATATAGGAAAAATGACATGTAGGGAAAAATGACATATAGGAAAAATTACATGTAGGGAAAAATGACATGTAGGAAAAATGACATGTAGGGAAAAATGACATGTAGGAAAAATGACATCGTCATACCCAGGACGAAATCTTTTCTGGTGATCCGGCTTTATATCTCACGATTCTCAACAAAAAACTAAAGAAGAATCTGTAATTTCTTCCCTCCGCCGCAAAGAGTCTTCCTTTTTTTCTATTCTATAAATATTTCATGACAGTTGTTCTAATGAACTCTCCTACTTGGTACCACGACTACATGAATTTAATCGTAATACTAGATTGGCAATTAGGTCTCATCGTTTTACTGTTGAACTACTTAGATGCAAACATAAGTTCTGTTCTAACATTTTCTTTCCTCGCACTTCTCAGCTGTGGAACTATCTTCAGGTTGTTTTGTCTCATTGCCATCTATAATCTTCAAAATGTCCTTTCTCCTCACTAAAGTTTCTCATTCTCTTTCACACCAAGTAACCCCTTGCGTTTTAGTGGCATTATCGCCTTACTTGGAGGGAAATGATTAAGGAAAAAATACTGCTATCGCAATACGGAATATTTAAAAATAATAGCGATAAACACTATTTACATTATTCGGACTATCGTCATATATTCTCCTGAATTTGGAGAGGGGAATTAACAGGAGATAACTGATAACTGACATCCATTAGACATGGCACGTGGAACTAGAACAGTCTACCCCAGCGAGCGAAATAAAGGGTTAAATTTGACATTCTGAAGAAGGCCAGAGCGTACGACAGCCGAAACGTCGTGATAAATATGGCAACAAAGATGAGGACGATAGTCCGAATAATGTAATTAGTGTACATAATACCTCATCTGAGAAATATAGACAGATAGAACAATATAGACCTAGAGTGATAAAATAAAAAAAAACGGGGAGCTAAATGAAGTTGGCTGAGCTGTACGTCTAGACACGTCAGACGCCAATAATTTAAAATTCAAGCTTCGAGTCCCTACATCTTCAGCGTTTCTTCTCGATGTATAAATGTCGTTTTTACTGATATTTTCATCCACCTAAATTAGGTGCTATATATATATATATATATATATATATATATATATATGACCATCTCCTTTTATGCTTTTTATGGTCTTTAGGTTCGTTTATATATATATATATATATATATATATATATATATGTTTACATTATTTACATTAGTCGGACTGTTGTCTTCATTATCTTTATTGTCATATCCACGAGGTTTTGGAAGTTGTACGCTCCGGCTTCTTCAAGTGATTGAAGATATATCAGTCTGTATATATATATATATATATATATATATATATATATATATATATATATATATATAGTGTGCCATGCGTAATACACGCGTAGGCAGATTTTTCCCGCAGTAGGTTGCCATTTCATTCTGCGATAGACCAGTTGCCACCCAAGGCGACAGAACCCGGTCTGTTCTGCTATTTATCCTTAGCTGAGGGAGAAGAAGAAGATTCATACCTTTCCCAAGGGTATTAGTACGGAAGTGAACGTAATGGCTTCCACTGGTTCGGTTCTCCGATTCCACAATCCGAGCCGTTATCCATTCCTCGAGCGGCGCAGTATCGAATCTAATAACGTAACTGTCCAGGTTTCAATTCTTCGTCGTGGATGCGTTTCTCCGTAGTTGCTACCGTTTTTGCTGTACAAAAGTTCCTCATTTATGGGGGGGGGAGCATTTTTTTTTCATTTGTTTTCTGTGTATATGATATTGACCGATGGCAACATTTTTCAAAATAAAATCGTAGAAATCTCTCAATTCGTGTCTAAACCAACTAATATTCGCCTGCTTATTTAGAAATAATATTTTTTGCAATAACAATCACACGATAAATTATACCAAGTCCGACAAATATTTTCATTTAATAAACTAACAGCAGAAATAAAACCTTCATGAACATAAGAACTATGGTAAAAATTTTCTCTTTCTTGATTGTCATGTTCAATGTTATTTAAGTCCCTTTTGATACTCCAGCAGTATCATATACAATGGAATAGGTGCATTCAATTGGAATGTCTTTAGTTGGAGTTTCTTTCCAACTGTGAAAACAAAATGCTCTCAATTTGCTTGGTTTCCTTCCGTAGTGAAGGGATAAAAGTGATGGGATTAATTTATGAATATCAAACAGAAGATTTTAGGGTTCCATAATTATCATGTTTATTAAAGTGTATTACTGATAATGTTTCAGTTAACTTGAATTTTGTCGATAAACTGGAAAAATTCGGTACTTCTATTTTAACATTTTTGACTTAAAAACAGTTTTTTTCTTATAAAAACATTTTATCTCAGGTGGCTGACATAAATTGCTCGGCCTAATTGAAAATTATTGGGTTTCTACGACCTTTATTAACTAATAAATCTAGCAATCAGAAATGAGAAATTTCAGTAAAGCAAAAAGCGTAGGTAACCATGAAAAATTAAGGTCATTTTCGGAATCAGCATCATTAAATTACCTAAAAAATGTGTTTTGTTTCTGGCACCAAAAAGTTTTATCAAAATCAAAAATACAATAACAATTCTGAAGAAGGCATATATAAAATAAATGCTCAGAACTGCTCCTCAAAATACATTGGGAAACCTGCCGAAAGTAAGGTTAATATAAAGAATGTGATGAATGATGCTTTGTACAGTATACAAATTGGTGAACCGTGTGAAAATAATGGAAACTAACCTGTTTGCCTTTTTTCGATTCATTGAGGAAAAATATAGAATACTATTTATGTTACGAATAAATGTCTGGAATTATTTGTAGTGAAAATGTTTTTAATGTTTCCTTCTTTTTTTTTTAGTCATTTCACTCCAAGCAAGATGGAAAAGACATTAAGAGGCAAGGGTTTACCGAGAGAGAAAGAATCTAAGAAAAAAGAAATTATAAAGAGAAAGACAATAAAAGAAGAGGCAAATGACGATTAAATAGTTGTATCATCAGCATAAATGGCAAATCAAGAAATAAGGAGACTAGGAAGATCGTTGATATACAGGGTGGTCCGAAAGTCTTGTCACCCTACATAATATAATGTTCTATTTCAGATGACTGACACAAGTTCCTAGAATCAGGAAGAGAGATAGAGTTTGAGAAGACTTTCAAACCACTCTGTAGAATTCTCTCTTTAAATTTAACTTAAGTTTATTGCATATTGAGAATTCTCCAGTGTCGTTCGAAAGTCTTGTCACCTCTATGATATTAAAACACTGTTTAAGATGGTTGACACGAGAAGGTATATTTTGAAAGAGAGGCTGTTTGCAAGTGTATGTACGCATGAATGTGCATTCTGGCAAGATAATAGAGGATGGGAGACAGGATTTCACTGCAAGATTTGCAAACCAGATTCTCAGAAGAGGACGATAATGGTCGGGGGCAAAAAAGGTTTTCTGACCATCATGTATATAAGGAATTGTAGGAGCAAGAAGAGTCCCCTAGGAGTGGTTTATTTTGTGCTGGCGCCAAATTTCCACGCATGCTTGTGTGTATGTGGGTGTGTATGTGTTAGAATGAAAGAGAGAGAGAAGAGAGAGAGAGAGAGAGAGAGAGAGAGAGAGTGAGAAAGAGTATGGGTGAGAGGTTGCTTGTTTATTTTTACGACTGTGAAAATATGTTTAACAATTCTCTCAACTTTCAACAGCGTACAATATCAACATTACAGTGTTACAAAAGAGCATTGCGTCTCATGTATATATATATATATATATATATATATATATATATATATATATTCTGTGTCAGTGTGTGTGGTTGTGCTTGTGTAAGAGATGTTTTTGTTCATGTGTGAGTGTGTGGTGGGTGTCTGTGTCTGTGTGAGAGTGAGACAGAGAGAGAGAGAGAGAGAGAAGAGAGAGAGAGAGAGAGAGAGAGAGAGAGAGAGAGAGAGAAACAGAAAGAGTGAAAGGGTGTACCAGGGTAACAGAAATGTATTTTGTTTGAATATGTGCATGAAATAGTTCAAAAGAGACATAAAAAAAGAATATATGTCAATTCACTAACATAAAAGAGTCTATATTGCCACTAAGTTACTATATTAATCTGAGACTTGTACAAACACAGAAGCGAGCAAGAGAGAAAGAAAAGACATTTTTATTTAACTATTGATTTATGCGGCCATTTACAAAGGGGTGGTGAAAAGTTTTTAGTCCGACATAATTCCTAAACTCAAAATTAATCAATCAATCAATCAATCAGGCAATCCTTATATCTATATCAGTATATTCGTATCTATCTATCTATCTATCTATCTATCTATCTCAGTATATTCGTATCTATCTATCTATCTATCTATCAGTATATTAATATGTGTCTATCAGTATATTCATATCTATCTATCTATCTATCTATCTATCTATCTATCTATTTATCTATCTATCAGTATATTAATATGTGTCTATCAGTATATTAATATGTGTCTATCAGTATATTCATATCTATCTATCTATCTATCTATCTATCTATCTATCTATCTATCTATCTATCTATCTATCAGAATATTCATATCTATGTATCTAAACTTAATCATATCTTTTATATCTATATCAGTATATTCATATCTATCTATCTATCTATCTATCTATCTATCTATCTATCTATCTATATCAATATATTCATATCTATCTATCTATCTATCTATCTATATCAGTATATTAATATGTGTCTATCAGTATATTCAGTATCTATCTATCTATCTATCTATCTATCTATCTATCTATCTATCTATCTATCTATCAGAATATTCATATATGTATCTAAACTTAATCATATCTTTATATCTATATCAGTATATTCATATCTATCTATCTATCTATATCAGTATATTCGTATCTATCTATCTATCTATCTATCTATCTATCTATCTATCTATCTATCTATCAGAATATTCATATCTATGTATCTAAACTTAATCATATCTTTATATCTATATCAGTATATTCGTATCTATCTATCTATCTATCTATCTATCTATCTATCTATCTATCTATCTATCTATCAGTATATTAATATGTGTCTGTCTATCAGTATATTCATATCTATCTATCTATCTATCTATCTATCTATCAGTATATTAATATGTGTCTATCAGTATATTCATATCTATCTATCTATCTATCTATCTATCTATCTATCTATCTATCTATCAGAATATTCATATCTATGTATCTAAACTTAATCATAACTTTATATCTATATCAGTATATTCATATCTATCTATCTATCTATCTATCTATCTATCTATCTATCTATCTAACCGTATATTTATAACTGTCTCTCAGTATATTCATATCTATCTTTATCAGAGTCTGTCTATATTTCCTCAAGGACACATGGCACAGTGGATAAAGGCGTTGGTTAGATCCAGTGACAGGCCCAAAGAAGGTGAGTTCAATACCTGGTTAAGGCAGTGGAGAACTTTCAGAGGGAAAATTAGCAGGAGATAACTGATAACTGACATCCATCAAACATGGCACGTGGAACTAGAACAGTCTACCCCAGTGATCGAAATAAAGGGTTCAGTTCGAAATTCCAACCACCCGAAGAAGGCCGGAGCGTACAACGGCCGAAATGTTGTGACAAATATGGCGACAAAGATGAGGACAATAGTCCGACTAATGTAAATACTCTATCTTTATCAATATATTCATATCTATCTATCTATCTATCTATCTCAGCTTATTCATATCTTTATATCTATATCAGAAAATTCATATCTATCTATCTATCTATCTATCTATCTATCTATCAGTATATTCACATCTACCTGTGTATCTATGTATGTATGTATCTATCAATTGGACGTGTTAAAAGTGCACAGATGTAGCAGCGAAATATACAGCTTCTTCCAATGAAACCAACCCTACGTGCACGTCGTGTGTACTGCTCTGCTAACGGGGATCTGATGAACAGAGAGTGTTCAACGCCGAAAAACTGGATCCCCACTGTCTTGTGGCTAAGGTTTTTGAACTAAAGGCAATGGATGAGGTAACCCAGACAGAAACCTCCACAGGAGCTTAGACACGTATGCCCCACAGGTGTTCGGATTACACTTTGCTGCCCAGTAACTTAAGTCCCTGTCATGGGTAAATGACATAAGTAGGTAGAAGGGGCCCCGGTAAGCCGTGGTGAAGGCAACCCATCTAGGAGAAAGAAATCGCGGACGACCATTTCCGCATCCTGTTGGTCTGTAGTTTGATTTGTTGCTGGCTACCTTGCTTCAGCTTTTTGAACCAAAGAGAGGGAATTAGCTGTTGTACAAAGCTATGTCTTTATAATAAGCATCTAGGTACAGATATTCCTTCAGACAATTATATCTTTCTGTTCCCAGAAGATGAAAAAGTGGCGTGGTGTGTGTTACAGTTTTTTTGGATATATCTGTGTACTAGTGATCCAACCAAAATGAACTGACTCATTTTATAGTCCACCAAGAGTTAACCAATCAGAAAGCTTAAAATATTCAATCCGTCGTGTATAAAGGAAGCCATTTTGTTTTTTCTCCCAAAATATCTTCACTGCCAACCTCTGATATCGAAGACTTAAAGAATTAGTTAATAACTGCTACTTTCTCCGAATCTTGACTGCCAACCTGATATTGAACACATTACAGACTTCAATGGATTCTATATTCAGAGACTACGACAAACATGGTCCACATTGGTTATGAGCCCAGACAACGACAGTATTTTGACGGAAACGAAACCAAGTACGAATTATGGGAAACGAAATTCTTAGGCTACCTTAGAATACAAAAACTCCATGACATCATTCTTTGCCAAGATTACCAGAAAGAAGATGGTAATTTTATGGAAAGAAATGCGACAGTGTTCGCCGAATTAATACAATGCCTGGATGACAGGAGTTTCTCTTTAAGAATGAGAGAAGCGAATGACAACGAACGTCGAGCCTTACGAATATTGCGAGGTGATTACTTGTCAAAAGGTAAGCCTAAAATTATTGCTTTATATACTGAACTAACCGCGTTAAAGAGACGAGAAAATGAATCTGTAACAGATTATATTATACGAGCTGAGAATGTCACAAATGCCTTAAAAATGGCAGGTGAGACTATCTCAGATGGGCTGCTAATAGCTATGGTTTTAAAGGGATTGCCACCGACATTCAAACCATTCACAACATTTATAACTCAAAAAGATAAAAAAATTAACTTTCACTGAGTTTAAAATTGCGTTACGTTGGAAAAAATTTGTACAGCGTGAAGGATTGAAACGCTGGTATCACGTAGTTACTGATCTGCACGTAAGTGACTTAAATCTTATCCTAACATCGTTTCTCACAATAATATATTGACAATTGTGTATTCATTAGAGCCTTTTGTGACTGAGCAGCCTCTTCAGGATGGCACTGGTCACCCAATGAATTTGAGAGGGGACAAGAAAATGCGTCCTAAACAAAGCAGCCTTGATCTTCTGGTTAGGTTCTTTCGAATGATGACTTTCCATATCAGCAAGAACACGAAATATTATCTATCTATCTATCTATCTATCTATCTATCAGTATGCTAATATCTATCTATCTATCTATCTATCTATCTATCTATCTATCTATCAGTATGATAATATCTATCTATCTATCTATCTATCTATCAGAATATTCATATCTATGTATCTAAGTTTATTCTTATCTTTATATCAGCATATTCATATTTGTCTGTCTGTCTATCTATCTAACCGTATATTTATAACTGTCTATCAATATATTCATATCTATCTATCTATCTATCTATCTATCAGTATGTTAATATCTATCTATCTATCTATCTATCTATCTATCTATCTATCTATCAGTATGCTAATATCTATCTATCTATCAGTATATTCATATCTATCTATCTATCTATCTATCTATCTATCTATCAGAATACTCATATCTATGTATCTAAGTTTATTCTTATCTTTATATCAGCATATTCATATTTGTCTGTCTGTCTATCTATCTATCTAACCGTATATTTATAACTGTCTATCAATATATTCATATCTATCTATCTATCTATCTATCTATCTATCTATCTATCTATCTATCAGGATGTTAATATCTATCTATCTATCTATCTATCAGTATGCTAATATCTATCTATCTATCTATCTATCAGTATATTCATATCTATCTATCTATCTATCTATCTATCTATCTATCTATCTATCTATCTATCAGAATACTCATATCTATGTATCTAAGTTTATTCTTATCTTTATATCAGCATATTCATATTTGTCTGTCTGTCTATCTATCTATCTAACCGTATATTTATAACTGTCTATCAATATATTCATATCTATCTATCTATCTATCTATCTATCTATCTATCTATCTATCTATCTCAGCTTATTCATATCTTTATATCTATATCAGTATATTCATATACTACAACTCACTTCAGCTCTGTTGCTGGAATATGAGAACACTTTTTTGAAAATCGGAAGGGACTTGAACCCAAGACTGCAATTCTAGCCAACGAATTTCAGAGGTACACAGGTAGACATTTCTGTCCTTTCTGAAACCCGTTTTGCAGGTGAAGATCAACTTGTTGAGCATGATGAACACTACGCTATCTTCTGGTCTGGTAAATCTGAAATAGAGGAGCGTGATGCTGGTGTCGGCTTTGCGGTTAAGAATTCTTTTGTTGACCAGATCAAACATCCAGTTGCCGTTAATGACCGTATCATGGCACTGTGAATTCCTCCTGCAGCTGGTCAATACATGACAGTTCTATCTGTCGATGCACCTAATCTTGATTCATCTGAATATGACATTACATCTTTTACTGAGACTCATTGTCACCAGTATACCAGGTGCTGAGAGTTTAGTAATTCTTGGTGATATGAATGCATGGATCAGCTCAGATGCTGAAACTTGGTCTCCTTTTGGTCCTTATGGTGTTGGTAGAATCAATTCGAAGGAGGTACGAGCTTAGCGGCGGTAGCTGTATTAAGTTACAGTGGCAGACAGTCCTTGATTGTCAGCGCCGTCTGTCGAACTCTCTGCATTAGCAGAGAGTAACCCGGACGAAGCTTTGCCGAAGGGCAAGGATTCGTTCGGGGAGGTTGACAGGCCTTGAACCTGCCTATGCGAGTTCGAGGGCTATATTTTTGGCCGAGCCTACGGGCTCGGAAGACCCACATTAAACTCGGCCTTGTGCCACATTCAATCCTCGTGGGGGGATCGATAAATAGCGGTAGAATCAATTCGAATGCTCTATTGCTCCTTCAGCTCTGTACTGAATTAAATATAGATATCACCAACATATACTCCCACCAAAAGAACAAGGCAAATTGGTTCCATCCTCAGTCTAAGCATGGTCATGTATTTGATTACATAATCTGTCGACGTGGGGATCTAAGAAACTTCTGCAAAATCAGAGTGATACATGGTGTCAATCACTGATCACTTGATGGTCAGGGTTGAGCTCAAAATTTCTATTCGACCGAAAAGTCGTTTCAATGGAGTCAATGTTCCTAAGCGGATCGATGTCTCCAAGTTGAAAGGTCCAGTCGTCAGAAACTTCCTCAAATCTACCTATGAGCAGGTGGATTTCTCAGACTGTTATTGGAAGAGAGTAAGAGATATCATCTATGAAAAAGGTGTTGAGATTCTTGGATTGAGAGTTCCCAGGCATCGAATTGGGTTTGCTGACAACGCCAGTGAAATCAACCCCCTCATTGACAAACAGAGGAAGGCTTATTTGAAACTCCTCAACTCTTCCTCTGCGAAGAGGTCAGCTTTTGCTGCTCACTTCTGCTTTGCGAAAAGTAAGGTTCAGCGCCGCGTGTGCCAAAACAAATGATGGTCAGATCTATCGAAGGAGATGCAAACAGCATATAACAAGAACGACATCAAGGCGTTTCATGGCCTGCTTCGTCAAGCATGTGGTCCAAAATCTACCGCAACTACACCACTCCTTGGCAAAGGACGGAACCACATTACTGAAGACTTAAGATGAAATTATGGGCCGTTAATATGAACATTTTCGAGATCTCTCTCTCACAATGCTTCTAATGTGCATGTTGCTGCAATAGATGGTCTCCCACAGCGAGCCTTACAGCCTGAAATTCACATGGAACCAACTCTTGAAGAAACAATTGCTTGCATAAGACAGATCAACTGAAACAAAGCCCCTGGATTGTATTCCTGATTAATCGGCAGGTAATCGGTAATCGGCAGCGGGCACTGCCGATTAATCAGTAATCGGCCGATGTGCCGATTAATCGGCCGATTAATTACTTTCCTACTGCTAAATCGGCCAGAATCAGTAATGGCAGATTATCAAAGGCTGATTAATCGGTAATCGGCCAATTTGTTTATCGGTGCATCCCTAGTATGGTTAATTGGGCGGACCACACTAATGTTATCTGTTTGGAGAGTTGACTCAGTTGCTCAAGACCGGATCGATGTCACTTTGATTATACTGTACATAGCGGAATCTATAAGGATGGAAACACCACCAAAGAATATCTGTCTACCAATGTCATGGAAACTACAAGTAAGACTTTCAATTAATGGAATCATTGTGTTCAAATATAGAGATGTATATAGAATCAAGAACGCGAAGAATTACATTGGACGAGAGAAATATGAATGTGATATCTATAGATTTAATTAACTTTCTCTTCATTAAATTGCAGTTATTTTTGCTAGAGATGATCATGTGTTACTCGTTCAGTAACAGATCGCTATATATATATATATATATATATATTCATGGAGAACTGACAAGAATCCTCTCTTTCATGCTACTTGTACTCAATGATATAACCATTACTATTACGTCATAGTGAACATTATCGTTATCTCCCCTTAAATCATATTCTTAAACGTTAACCACGTATCAGGATTGAACACGCAATGCAAGATTTTTCTTTGTAATTTGACTGTGGTAATTACCGTGGCATTTCACTGCTTTGGAAAAGTGTTTGCAAAACTCTTGCTAAACCGATTGGAGAAGTATATTTGTCCTGATGACCTTCCTGTTGACCATGTTCGCCATAGTCTATGAATATAGAATACAGCGCAGTACGTAATCTGTTCAATAAAACAACGTTAAAGTTTAACACTCACGAGTCAGACACTCTACCGAATCTGACTATATCGCCAATACAACCAGCAGCTGTTCCTTAATTCTTCAGTCTTCGATATCAAAGGCTGGCAGTGCATATTCGGAAAAAAACATGGCCGCCTTTATACACGTCGCATTGAATGAATATTTTGAGCCTTCTGATTGGTTAACCCTTCTATTGGTGAACTATAAAATGAGTCAGCTCATTTTGGCTGGCTCACTAGTACACCAGGGTATCCAAAAATTCCAACATTTCCCGATTCACAAACTGGTTTTAGAGACGGAAGAGGAACTGTAGACATGATATTCTCTGCTAAGAATCTTGAAAAATGTATTGAACAGAGTGCGCTGCTTTGTCAGGTTTGATTTGACTAAAGTTTTCGACACAGTGAATCGTGAGGCTCTCTGGAAGGTGTTAGGAAAATCTGGCTGTACACCTCTTATTGAAAAGTTCAAGTAACTACATCGCTGTATGAAAGGTCGTGTCAATTTCAATGGTCAGCCCTCGGAGAAACTTCCCGTCGATAATGGAGTAAAGCAGGGTGATATACCTGCACCAACATTGTCCTCACTTTACCTGACGACTGTACTCTGGTACGCCTTCCATGATTGTGATACAGGTGTCTATATTTGATTCTGAACAATTAGGAAAAGTTTTCAACTTGAGAAGATTCCAAGCCAGGACCTTTGTAAGTGACGGATTTGTTAGGGAGCTTTTACATGGTGAGGACGCCGACTTAGTTGCATACTTTCCGGAGGAAATGCAGCCAGTGATGAACGGCTTTACTAATATACCTGCTGCTGGATTGACAATCAGCATTAAGAAAACCAAGGTCATGTACACTCCATCTTCTGGCGATCTTTACATGGAACCTGACATCTTTGTCTATGGGAAGTGTCTTGAAGTCGTCAAAGAATGTCTAACTTGGAAGTATATTATCAAATGATACCTCCCTTGACGCGGAAATCAAAGAAAGAATAAGCAAGGCATCTGGCTCCTTTCGTAACCTAGAAGATAAAGTTTCGTCGGATGGGGATTTAACTCTGGCAACTAAAGTATATTTCTGTTTATCTGCCTAACTTTCTACCAATCTATCTATCTATCTATCTATCTATCTATCTATCTATCTATCTATCTATCATGTGTTTGTTCCTCACTAAATGTTTTGTATTAATGGCTTTATACCAAAATAGATTGACTCACCTTCATCAAAATCAATTGTAGTTGTTGATCACGTGGCGATATACACCACAATTATTTAAAATTTGACTAGGAATGACGTGGAAAAGGACAAGCAAAAACGCTGGCGGCTACCAAACATATAGCGGTCCTAATGCAATTTATATTTGACGTAAAATAACACATAGTATAAAATACAAGACAGAACGTAATGATTCAAAACATAACAATTGAACAGTATTTACATTAGTCGGACTATTGTCCTCATCTTTGTCGCCATATTTGTCACAACGTTTCGGCCGTTGTACGCTCCGGCCTTCTTCAGGTGGTTGGAATTTCGAACTGAACCCTTTATTTCGATCACTGGGGTAGACTGTTCTAGTTCCACGTGCCATGTTTAATGGATGTCAGTTATCAGTTATCTCCTGCTAATTTTCCCTCTGAAAGTTCTCCACTGCCTTAACCAGGTATTGAACTCACCACTTTATCCACTGTGCCATGTGCCTTTGAGGACACATGGCACAGTGGATAAAGGTGTTGGTTAGATCCAGTGACAGACCCAAAGAAGGTGAGTTCCATACCTGGTTAAGGCAGGTATTGAACTCACCTAAGAAATATAGACATAACAATTGAATTTATTAGTGTTTTGGTGTACATGCATATAAAGTTTGATAGAGTTACGTCTCTTAGATTTGAGAAATATTTGTATCGGAGCTCATAAAGTTGAAGTAATTATTAAACTGAAGTTTTAGAAGAATAAAGTTCCTGTTACATGTTAGGAAAAGACGGTAGAGTTCAGAAGAGTTAAGAGTTCGTACTTGCTTGAATGTTGATAATGTTCTTTAACGTTTGACCGTAAGGTTAAGATGGGAGCTCTTGAAGATTACATCTTGGCAGCAAGGAGAAAGAGGAATGAAGAGGAACACAAGGGAGAGGCTTATTCGTGTTTTATTTATATAAGGCTTTGTCACACGTATTCGGCTCCGAAGCTTGTGCACAGGAAAATTATTCCTCGCGTGTCGGCGATTTGATTGGTTGGAATTGACCAATCAGCAAGCTAGTTTTGAGGAGATTAGCCAATGAATGCTTGTCGCATGATCTGTATGTATGATGGTGATGATAATCACCACAATCGTGTCGAGAAAATTTCCATGAGCCTCACATGTAAGTAGTTTTACAGATATGCAATGTAAACACATATATACACACACACACTGTGTTTTTTATGTACTGAAATACCTCGATTAATGCGTTTTCGATTAGTACGCTTATAATACTCGGTAAGTGCGATAAAACATATTTTAGATTAATCATAGAATGAAAATTTATTTTTATGATTACCGACGTACATATTAGCTGTTCCAATCGAGGGATCCATATACGTATTTATTTACCTCTCCCTCGCTATATATATATATATATATATATATATATATATATATATATATATATATATTCACCCCTAGCAAGGCAGGAGTGCCACTAGCACGGAAGGCGTTACAGAGAGTGGGAGCAAGAGTAAAGAGACGCGATTGAGGAAGGGACAAACTGAAGGACGATGAATTAGATCAAGGCAACAGATGATGCCGATTGATATTACATTTAAATATTTGAAGGCTATAACTACCAGAGGAAGGGAGTTTCACAGACGGGAAGTACAAAGCTATTGGAGTAGAAGAGATGGTTACAATTAACCATTTCGACAGTGAAAGGATGGGAACGAGACGCCAACCTAGTAGCACGCTTAAATTCATGCAGTTTGGGAACCAGCGAAAGTAGTTCGTCGGAACAGTTACCGTGAAAGTATTTGTAGAAAAGACAGAGAGAAGCGATGGTACGTCTGTGAGAAAGTGGCTGTAAACGAGATGCCAGCTCAGGGCTAAACACATTGCATATCCGTCTCTGGATTTTGTCGAGGACCTTAAGTCGAACCGCAGGGGCACCATACCATATATGGCAGCAGTATTCCATCCAAACACGAATGGTTGACTGATAGATTTGAAGGATGGACTCAGGCAAGAAAAAACTTTCTGACGCGACACAGAGAACCAACTTTCCTTGCGGTGGATGAAGCTATTGATTCAATTTATTTGTTCCATCTTAGGTCAGCGGACAGCATGAGACCAAGCAGTCTCAGGGAGACTCTCATCTGGAGGTGAGCATAAGACACTCTAATGGGAGGCAGGGTGGATTCTCTGTGGTGGGTAAATGAGACCAGTTTTGGATTAATTTTTTTTAAGGGAAAAGTGAGAGAAAATGGAAAAAGTTTTCATGTAACGAGTTTTCTCCTTTGGAACTTAGTAAGAATGTTTTCTTGAAGCTTTTATTTTGGTTTTAATTTGAAGCTGATAGATTAAATTTAATGTTTCCAATAAGCATACTTCCCAAAAACAAATTTCAAATTGACTGGACGTAATTTTTTATAGTCTTTGGCGAAATTGACTGATTTCAGCGCCATTGTTAGCCATCGTTCATTGCAATGTAATTCCTTTTATTAAAAAATCTTCCAAAAATAAAATATACTTTTCTGAAACTTTATTTGAGAAGTATTAGCTGGTTTAAAGTTTAATTAATCTGATTTGAAACAAATATTACTTAAATTCAGTTTAAAATATTGCAGAAATGCATTTTTAACAAAGCGATAGCTGTTTAGTTAAGATGGGTGCAAATTCACAGCTTGAATGACACATAGATGTTTATCTAATATTTTTGTACGTTGAGTATATCTAAAAATAAATGAAGAGTATAACGTGAGCGCCTTTTTATATAAATTACTCAATGATCTTAAAATTTAAAAAAAATATTCTCCGTAATCTAACGTTTTATTGAATTTTAGATACAGTGACCTTAAATTTACTAAATTTATGACTTATGATTTGATAATGTGTATGAATAAGCGTATCTACAAAAATTGAAAAATACAAACAAATACAATATTATAGTTAAAAATACTGTGGGTCCTTAAATTGTAATAACCTTTACAATTTATGATTAGTAACTATAGTTTTTATTTAGCAACAATATCACCTAACGGTTACATCATTAAAACAGAGTTTTTAAAGAATTTAAAAAGATGTAAAATTTTATAAATTATTCTAATTAAAATTTTTTAAAAATTCATTATTCATCGAAACTTTTTTTCTTAAGACAATAGTAACATCAATGCATCCTATTTATAAAACGAATTAAAGATTTTCTCATTAAATAATGTTTTTTTTTTTTATTGAATTTTTACTTTACGATTCGGAGCAAATTATCGGTAAATGATGTTTTTGTTTGAAAAAAAAATGATGATATAAATCGTCCAAAATGTTCTGCTTTTAACTAATATAAATACGAAAAGGGTGGAATTTTAATATCTCGAAATTTCATAAAATTAATCAAGTGTTTAATACGTATCTAAAAAAAAAAAAGTTAAGCAAGAATTTCTAATAGAAAAAATGTTTTTAAAGAATTTCATTCATTTGTGAATAAGTACTGAAAAGTTCATTAAAATCCAAGAAGTATTTTCTAATTAAAAATGTTTTAGCTTTTTTGCATTTTTATTTTACGATTCAGATCAGATTTTCGGTGAGTGGCGTTCCTGTTTTGCAGAAAGAAATTGATGATTTAAATTCTCCAAGGTCTTTTGCACTTAAATAATATAAACATTGAAACATCCACCATTGAATTTCTAGAATTATTATAAAATTAAATAAGTGGTTTAAGATTAAGTGATGTAAAAATATATTTTTACGTAGATTTTCTAAAAAAAGAATTTCTAGAATTATGATAAAATTAAATAAGTGGTTTAAGATTAATTGATGTAAAAAATATATTTTTACGTAGATTTTCTAAAAAAAGAATTTCTAGAATTATTATAAAATTAAATAAGTGGTTTAGGATTAAGTGATGTAAAAATATATATTTTTACGTAGATTTTCTAAAAAAAACAATTTCTAGAATTATTATAAAGTTAAATAAATGGTTTAGGATTAAGGGATGTAAAAATATATTTTTACGTGTATTTTGTAAAAAAAAGAATTTCTAGAATTATTATAAAATTAAATAAGTGGTTTAGGATTAAGTGATGCAAAAAATATATATTTTTACGAAGATTTTCTAAAAAAAAGAATTTCTAGAATTATTATAAAATTAAATAAGTGGTTTAAGATTAAGTTATGTAAAAAATATATTTTTATGTAGATTTTCTAAAAAAAAGACTTTCTAAAATAATTTCATTCATTTGTGAATATGTACTGAAAGATTCATTAAAACCCGATAATTATTTGATTTTTGCAAATATTTCCAAATCAATGTTTATCACCGCAAAACAGACGTTAGAATTTGTTACGCTCACGCAAGAAAAACAAGATT